TTCGACCAGAACGCTCAAATTAACTTAAAAACATGCAGAAATAGTGAGCTCATGGCTGGGTCTCAGTATCCCCAGACCACGAGATCACTCCTAAAAACAGGGCTATTACTATTTATTGAATTATTGTTGTTTTTGCTCAGTAGATAAAAATCATCATCTCCATCGAAGATGGATCAACCCTTCCCCCCAACTCCTAGCTTCTCATCCTTGCAAAATGAATTCAGATGTTAATTAAATTCAACTCAGGGCGTAGTAGGGAAGCTGAAAAAATATATAAAACGGTTCCAGTCCAAATCCCGAGACCCCTCCGGATTCTTGAATCCGGCGAAATAAGACTCTTAATCTCCTTCCGGAAGGCCGTCTTGTCTTACACCCTTCATCGTTGTTCGCAACGGCCTTGCAACTATTGTAGCGGCACAATAGTTGCAACTCGGAGCGGTCTCTGCTTCTTCTGGTTTTTCTTTGATTCCGACTCTCAATTTTTTCGTTGTTGTCGTCGTCGCAACTAATGTTGTTGTGTCTATATTTCAGTTTTTCTCCAAAATGGCTGTTTTTGACGTTTCTTAGAATTATTACGCCATGAGTTCGATGTTAAAAAATTTAGGAATTTCCGAATTCTTCAGCCCTCACGATTTGTCTAATCGTTCGAATAACGCTCTTATTCTCTCAAAACCGCCAAATCGGAAGGTTTGCTGCTAAAAACTCGAAATTGCTGCATCTGCATTTTTGTCCATTCTGGTCGAATGTCACAGGCAGGTGGCAACACGCGATGAGGGCATCGATCTTGAGTACGGGGAGTATGTGCCAGTCGGTCATATTTGGAAGTTTGACCTTGAGGAATGCAAACTACGTAATTTTGGGAGGAAATTTAATTTTTCCAAATTCGAATTGAGCCTGTCATGCTCAACTTTCTCCCGAAAACTGAAAATCTCAGAAATACAAGATCAGAACAACCAGATTACAATGGCGGGAAAGTACTTGGAAAAAGCAGCGGGTATTTGCAATTCGCAATTTCCAGATACAAAACAAACGCGTGTAGAGCCGTCCTATCCTGAAATAGGAGAAGGAGTGATCACAGAAGAAGAGTGCATTTATTTGATTTGAACCAGAGTGAACCCTCAGTGGAAAGGTGGACATATGGGGTATCCCAATGGTCCAATCCTGAAACTTATTTCTCAAGTCAAAACTCAATTCCTTTGCTGGAATTCGTTAATTACAAACTTCTTGAGTTAAAACTTAATTCCCTTTAATGCTAGAGTTGCTGATTAATTTAGTTACTCCAATTTTTGAGTGTGCTGGTATGTGAGTACCCAATTTAGTTTTCTTGAGTGTGTTTTATGATTGTTATGTTGAGGTCAGGAGAGTTTTAGGTTGATCCATCTGAAATGGATCAAAGTTCCACGGTCTAATAAAAAGTAACTGTGCGGATTGTTCCGACCCTGTTTTTAACGGCGTTCGTGTATTTTTGGTATTTTGAGACCTAATAATGGGGACGTTCTTAATTTTTAGAGTGGGGGGGGGGTTATTTTGTTAGTGGCCTTTAAGCTCTAACGTGTTTTTAGTCTCATGTCGCAAGCGAACCGAATTGGCTCCGACTGTTCGAGGTAGAAAAACTCAAGAGATAGTGTCCCTGACTCTTGAGCCAATGGTTTTAGGGCCTCTTTTTCTTTAACCTCATATGTGACCGAAGTAGGCGACTGTTACACAGGGGAGATTATTTTCTCTATTAATTTTGTTCACATCACTAGTCTCCTAGAATCATCCATCTCCTGGTCTCTGTTGTAAATTGCAAAACCTATTTTGGGCTTGTTAGCTTTTTCAATATCCATCTATTTCGAAATTTGCTTTGTAAGTTGGTTTTAATTTTAACAACTTGTTTCTTTTTTTTGTTAATTTTTCTTCATTTTTCTCGGTTTATTAAGCTTCGGCATGTATTATATCGGCTCAGTGGTTCTATAATGCCTCGTTTATTGAGCAACAAATTTTTGTTTGAGTGTGTTTTGAAGTGGATGGGCTTCAACAACTTTTCTTTAGTTTTTTTTGTCTTTTGTAAATTTTTATTATTTTGCCTTGATTTAAAAAATTTGATTTATCAATTGGCTTATTTGCGTCCTATCGTGTCGTTTGGTGACTTAAAGAAGTATTTATGCGCGTGTGTATTCTGAGGGGGTTGGCGCTTTAACATTTTATCAGTTTTTAGAATTTTGGTGTAATCTTTTCGGCTTGAAGGGTCTGCTCAGATATTTTTGGCTTCTCTGGAGTTTTGATAATTATTTTGCCAATTTTGTCTTCAGTGTCTTAGTGTGTTTTTTGATTCCTCGTTTTCTTCAATTTTATAGACTTCGGATTTTTTGAAGTTTTTCTTTGTATGCTCATGCGACCTAGCGGTTGCTTTGTTCTGTATCGCAATTGGTACAAAGCTCTGCTTCGCCTCTATGTTTGAGTTTTCTTTAGTTCAATTCAACTTTGTATTCGCGAGTTTTTTTCCTCATTTTTTAAGCGTTATCACGCTAAATCAGGTTTCTTAGATAATCATTGAAATGAGTCGAGATGTGTAGCATCGTACGGCATAAACAAGACTTTGAAAAAAATTTCCTGCGTCGAGATTTTTCTTGTTTTTCATTTATTGATTGTTTTTTGAGACACTTTTTGCTGATTATGCCTAATTAGCAACTTGTATACGTGTTTGATAAGTTCTGTCATCACACCAGGCAGAAAAGTTGAATCTATAAAAGAAAAAGAAATTTTTTTAGTTTTCTTTAATGAAATTTTGGAACATTCTGTGCTACTTTCAGAGAAATTGGCTATTCGGTAGCAATTTGTGATTTCGTTTGTTTTGTATCAGGTTTTTTTGTTCCTATTTATTACGAAGAGTTGACATGAAATTTCATGGGATTTGGTTTTTATTTGTTTCGATATGCTTTTGATATTTTTTTCACTTATCGCAAAAGTTTTTTCTTCCCAAACTACTCTAACCGGTTTTCGAAAAAAAATACCAACAAAAAGATTGCTTACCCTCGGGTGTGCCTGTATTATCTGCTAGTTTCTTTATTTAATCCCACATTTTATGGCCTTCAAAAATTTTCGACCCCTTTTTGGATTTTCCATTTTCTCGAAAACAATCCTGCCAAATCTGAGATTAAGGGTTTAATCGAAAGAATTTGTCATGGGAATCTTCACTGCATGAACCGCTACGCCCTTTTTAGCTGAAAAAGTTTCAGTTTAAGAGAGTTTCCAAGTTTTGACATTATTTTGATAACTACCCACACTCTCGGATCTGAGATGAAGAGTTCAATGGAAAAAAAAATTGTAGGCGCATCTCCATGTTGATTCGACCGATTTTAGTTAGTAATCCACGAAGAACTCGTGAATTAACCAATATTTGACATTTTGAATCGTTTTTTTTTTGAGTTTGGTGCAATTTTATCAAACCAGGAAAGAAATCAATCGAACGGATTAGTGTTTACGCTTGCCGTACGCAAGCGTTATCAAACTGGAATATAGACTTTTTTCTAGTTAGCAACTAGTTTAACCAACTCAGTTGAATCATTTGCTGGCTTTTTTCGTTTCTCTTCTTCTCTTCTCCTTAACATCTTTCAGTTTGCTTCCCCCTTGGACTGGAGGTAAAACACTTGCATTTGTACCCTAAAGTCGGGTTCGAGTCGTGACCGGACCTTGTTTTTTTCAATATCAAGGAAATAAAAAAAAATCAGGAAAAATTGACTGGTTGCGGTTGTGTGCTCACGTTTTGTCGGCAAAATTGCCACAACGGAATTTGCTTGTGCTGTAGACAACTTTCATTGTAGTTGCAAGTGTTGTTCAGTTTAATTTCCGGGGGGGGGGGGTACTTGAAATATTTTTTTAGAAACCTAATAAAAAAATTTCCATTAAATCTTTTTATTCAGTTCAGTTGGTGTCTGCTGAAGGATTGTCGGCTTAGTTGCCACGTCACTGAGTTTTTTGCTGCAAGCAATTTTCATTGTAGTTGCAAGTGCTGTTCGTTCTAGTTTCAAGGGGGACTTGAAATATTTTTAAAAAATCAAAAATCATTTTTTTTGGTTCAAGTGGTTTCAGCTCAAAGATTGTTGGCTTAGTTGTCACATCACTGATTTTTCTTGTGCTGTAAACAATTTTCATTGTAGTTGCAAGTATTAACCATTCTTGTTTAAGGTGGGACTCTAAACTTTTATAAAATCATGTTTTTTTTCTGCTCAACGTGAGTCTGCTCAAAGATTGTCGGCTTTGTTTCTTTTTGTAAATTTTGTTCCGTTGTTGCTGATATAAAATTCAAGCGTCTGGCATGTTTGCCTGGATTGAACTTCTATCGAGACATAAAAGTTTACATGACCTAGTATTTTTCAAAATTTTTCGTTTTAATATGTTTGTTTTTATGTTTGTGTTGTATCGCAAGTGGTGCGAAGCTCCGCTTTTCTTCTGTGTTTAGTGATCTTCCTTGCTAAATGGTTTTCTTCGTATTTTCAATAGAAAATGAGGCATGGACTAGGGAATCAGCCATGGTCTTTTTTTAGCTTAAGCTTTGATTTTCATCTCCTGTTTCTTAATTTTTGCTTAAGTTTGCGAATTTTACATAGCACAGAATTTTATATTTCCATTGGTGCACAGTTTAGGCTCACTTCTGTTTGAGTTATGAGGCAAATTTTAAAATATGCTGAAATATTTTTCGTTGTTTTGGAAGTCTCTTGAAAGCAATTCAAATTTATATGAAGACAAATGGTTTCAAATTTCATTTGGCAATTTAAGTGTTCATTTTTTTTGTTTTGTTCGAACTTCGATTGTTTTTCGGAAGATCTTTAATGAAAATATTATTTAAAGTTTGGAAAGAACATTTGTATATATGTCTCTAGGCTAATTATAACGAGCCCAGCTTTCAATATGAAGGTTAAGCGAAACGTAACTGTAAAACATTCGAATTCCACTTGAAAAATTTTGTTCAAAAAAGTCTTAAATTTGATATATCAATCTTTATAGAAAGCAGTTTTTTTTTCGTTTCGATATGCAAAATTGAAATGGCGCTTTGTTATTTCGACGCTAATATTCCTCGGCAAGATTTCGAAGAAATGGTTTTGAAACAAAATACTCTGTGTAAATTTGGAAGATGGATATCTGAAAACTGGGCTTGCTTTCGTGATTGGTTTGACGATGGCGAGTTCGAAACTAGTAGAATGCTGGCTTATTTTGGCGACATTGAAGTGCCTGTCACTATTTGCGATGATCATGGGCCATATGATTCAACCAAGATTACTACGAAGATGTCGCAATTTTTAAATGAACTCAAAGCGGGAGTTTCAACTAAGTACCTTAAAGATTGGCATTTTTGTGAAGCTGTGAAATCAACTGCTGATGTGTTTGATTTACCCGAATTTTTCTCATGTGATTGGTTAAACGATTGCCTGATCGATCAAGGAAAGCAAGACTATCGATTTCTCTATTGCGGTGGAGCAGATACTTGGACACCTTTTCATGTCGATGTGTTTTGTTCATACAGTTGGTCAGTAAACATAACTGGTCATAAAACTTGGCTTTTCTTGTCATCTGAACACCTAAGTGAAGCAGAAAAGATGAACCCTCCCAATGATATCAGAAAACATAGTCACCTGATGAAAAATGCTATTCAAGTAGAGCAAGGGCCCGGAGAAGCAATTTTTGTTCCAAGTACGTGGTTCCATCAAGTTTGCAACAGAGGTATTACCGTATCAATTAACCATAATTGGTTCAATGCATATAATATTCATCACGTCTTTACTTTACTTAAATCAGATTTAGATTTGATAACACACGAAATTTCATTTCTAAAAGATGCAATGGGCGATGGTTACGATGATCACTGTCAAGTTTTACTCAGAGCAAATAGTGGCTTCAATTTCGATGAACTCAAACAAGTTCTTGAGTTTGCTGCAGAAAATGAAAAATACGGCGAGTTCCAGCAGTCTAAAGCCTCGAGATATTTGGACAAAGTTAAAGATGTTCTGTCAGGTTAAATTTTGTAATATTTTAGTTAGACTTGGGAAATGGTATTTTGGGTTTCCTTTTATATCAAACCATTGGTTTGTGCATTTGCGCCAAGTATAACGTATTTAGTGTTTGATATAGAGCTTAAGTCCAATTATCTGAAGTTGTGAAATTTGCTGAACACTATTCAAACACAAATCAATGCTATCAAAAACAGTCGAATTCAAATAAATATGTGTATATTTACTTAATTGATTGATAACCAGAGATCTTTTGTGTTTGATTCCTTTGAAGTCTTTGATTCCTTTTGTTGGCCATTTGAAAGTTGTAAAACCTACTTGAGTAGTCGAAAAATTTTCTTCAGATAATGGTTTGAACAATTTGCGATGAACGGAACACAACTTGGAAATGGATTACATGAAGGAGAAGTCGAAGTTCCGAGAGAGTCTATCAGAACAATAGACGACATCAGAGCACTCAGAATACAAAGAGGGGTCAGTCTATTTTATGTTTTATTTTACGGACGATAGATATCAAATTATGGTCTCTATGCAAATTTGGTCTTCCTATGAATTAAATGAAAGTCGGAATGCGCTATGGACGCAATGCTTAATTGAACACAATGCTTAAGAATTATTATGAGACAATGTTTAAACGGCTATCGAGCGTAACGTTTAAGAAGCATTCAGAGCAACCATCTGAGGAAGGTGAACTCGAAGTACCTGCCTAATTTTTCTCCAAAATTTCATTTCATTTCCGTCTGGAACTGGGACTGTCAAAAGTTCAGTCTGGAACGAATCACTTGAAAACAGCAACCTCCATGCTAAGAAAGAGTTTTTTTGCGAATCGATTCGTTCTATGAAATAAATGGAAATAATTCAAAGTTTCATAGCTTTAAAAGTTTGCTTAGGCAAACTGAAACTTTGTGCGAACCGTTTCGGTCTATAAAATAATTGGAAATATTTCAAAGTTTCATAGCTTGAGAAGCTTGCTTCGAAAAACTTAAAAGCTTTTCGCAAACCGATTCATTCTACGAAATACCCTGAAAATGAACATAGCTCATATAGCTTCATAGAAAACTTGGAGCTTTTAGCGAACCGATTCAGTCTATGAATAAACTTGTAATAGTTCAAATTTTCTTAGCTTTAAAAGCATGCTTTGAAAATTTTTAACTTTTCGCGAACTGAGGAAATCCACGAAGTAACTTGCAGTATTTCAAAGTTTCATATCTTGAATAGCTTACTTCGAACAACTTGAAGCTTTTGCGAACTGATTCAGTCTTTGAAGTATCTTGAAACATTTCAATGTTTCAAAGCTTTAAAACTTTGCGTAGAAAAACTTCGAAATAACTTGAAAGAGTTCATTTTTTATTAGCTTGATTGGCTTGCTTCGAAAACTTTTAAGCTTTTCTTGTACTGATTCGGTTTATGGAATAGTTTGAAGTATTTCAAAGCTCATAGCTCCGTTAGCTTGCCTAGAAAAACTTAATTTTTTTGCGACCCGAGTCAGTCTATGAATTAACTCGGAAAGTTTTCAAAGTGTCGTAGTTATTAAAGTTTCGAATAATTTGCTTAAACAAGTTCTTCGTGAACCGATTTGTTTCATTAACTATCCTGAATTATCTCCAAAGTTTCGTAGCTTGAATTGCTTACATTGGACAAAAAAAAATTCAGTCTAAGTTGGATAAAACTTGCCTTGGCAAAAAAGATTCACTCATAGAAATAGCTTGGATTTTTTTGAATTTCCTTGCTCCATTAGCTCGCGCAAAAAAAATTAATTAAAAAACCAAGAAAAAACCTGGAAATCACTTGAAAGGCTTCAACAGAAAAACAGTTTGCCATCCGGTTCACTTCGTGAATTAACTTGAACTATTGAAAGTTTCGTAGCTCAATTCTTTGCTTCAAAAAACTGATACTTTTTGTGAACCCAATCAGTCTGTGCAATAACTTGGAAATTTTCAAAATTTGGAAATGTTTTAAACATGAATTTTTTGCGAACCTGTTCGCTCTATGGAGTAACTCGAAATTTTTTTTGCGAACCTGTTTGCTCTATGGAGTTGCTCGAAATATTTCATTTGATAGCTTGAACAGCTTTCTAAGAAAAACCCAAGTTTTTTGCCAACTGATTTGCTCTATGAAATTACATGTATTTTTTCAACGTTTGCTTGCTTCAATAGCTTGCACAGAAAAACTTTTCTTTTTTTGCGAATTGATTCGCTCTATGAAACAACTTGAAATATTTCAATGTTTTATCATTTGAATAGCTTCCATATAAAAACCTTAATTTGCGCCATGCGATTTGTTTCATGAAACATTTTGAGTTATTTCAAAGTTTCATAGCTTGAATAGCTTGCTTAGAAAAACTTCACTTTTTCGAGAACCGATTCGTTCTATGAAAGCTAAAGGTTTTCAAACCGTTTTACGATTTGGCTTAACTTGAAATTGTTCAAAGTTTCTTTGCTTGGATAGCTTGATCAGATTAACAGCTAATTTTTTTGCGAGCCTATTGATTGTTGGAGGCGGGCTTCTAGTACTACTGAAATATGTGCTCTTTTTTGGTGCTGAATTTCATTGCTTGAGTATTGTTACCTTCTTTTGTCCGCTTTTTTTTAAGAGAGCATGATATTATTATTAGATGTGGAAAATCTATATCGCTTCTAGACAGTTAGTGCAGTCAAGTAGAAGAGGTTTAAATGATGCAGTCGATTAATTATTTATCTTATTTGCCACTTTTTTGTATGTTTAAGAGTGATGTACGTAGAAATGACGTTTATGTAGTTGGTCTTAGTGACTTTTTTTCAGGAAAAAGTTTTAGAATTTGTTTACGCTTGTTTTTGATTTTTCGCGGTTTGCCTTGTGATTTCTTTTTCAGATCAGTGCATTTCCATTGTTAAAAGGAAGGCAAACTCCACTATTGAACAGCGTTAGTTTTGAACAACATAATTTTGCACGTGGAGTTCAATTATCAGACTTCCCAGCGAAATAAAATCTATACGTATTGATCCAGTGTTCTCAAATTGGGTTAATTTCAGGAAAAATTGTCAATGGTAAATTGTCGCGAAAAAAAAATTAATTAAAAAATTAAGAAAAAACCTGGAAATCACTTGAAAGGCTTCAACAGAAAAACAGTTTGCCATCCGGTTCACTTCGTGAATTAACTTGAACTATTGAAAGTTTCGTAGCTCAATTCTTTGCTTCGAAAAACTGATACTTTTTGTGAACCAAATCAGTCTGTGCAATAACTTGGAAATTTTCAAAATTTGGAAATGTTTTAAACATGAATTTTTTGCGAACCTGTTCGCTCTATGGAGTAACTCGAAATTTTTTTTGCGAACCTGTTTGCTCTATGGAGTTACTCGAAATATTTCATTTGATAGCTTGAACAGCTTTCTAAGAAAAACCCAAGTTTTTTGCCAACTGATTTGCTCTATGAAATTACATGTATTTTTTCAACGTTTCCTTGCTTCAATAGCTTGCACACAAAAACTTTTCTTTTTTGCGAATTGATTCGCTCTATGAAACAACTTGAAATATTTCAATGTTTTTATCATTTGAATAGCTTCCATATAAAAACCTTAATTTGCGCCATTCGATTTGTTTCATGAAACATTTTGAATTATTTCAAAGTTTCATAGCTTGAATAGCTTGCTTAGAAAAACTTCACTTTTTCGAGAACCGATTCGTTCTATGAAAGCTAAAGGTTTTCAAACCGTTTTACGATTTGGCTTAACTTGAAATTGTTCAAAGTTTTTTTTGCTTGAATAGCTTGATCAGATTAACAGCTAATTTTTTTTGCGAGCCTATTGATTGTTGGAAGCGGGCTTCTAGTACTACTGAAATATGTGCTTCTTTTTGGTGCTGAATTTCATTGCTTGAGTATTGTTACCTTCTTGTGTCCGCTTTTTTTAAAGAGAGCATGATATTATTATTAGATGTGGAAAATCTATATCGCTTCTAGACAGTTAGTGCAATCAAGTAGAAGAGGTTTAAATGATGCAGTCGATTAATTATTTATCTTATTTGCCACTTTTTTGTATGTTTAAGAGTGATGTACGTAGAAATGATGTTTATGTAGTAGGTCTTAGTGAATTTTTTTTCAGGAAAAAGTTTTAGAATTTGTTTACGCTTGTTTTTGATTTTTCGCGGTTTCACTTGTGATTTCTTTTTCAGTTCAGTGCATTTCCATTGTTAAAAGGAAGGCAAACTCCACTATTGAACAGCGTTAGTTTTGAACAACATAACTTTGCATGTGGAGTTCAATTATCAGACTTCCCAGCGAAATAAAATCTATACGTATTGATCTAGTGTTCTCAAATTGGGTTAATTTCAGGAAAAATTGTCAATGGTAAATGTTCAAGAAAATCAAACAGGTTTAAGGCCATCTGTTTTTTTTTCGAAATTCGAAAGTTTTTTTTGGTTTCTTTGCGTTCATTTTTCTTTTCAGCTGTCAGTTGGCTTTGTTCTCATTTTGAAGCGCCTTGTTGTTGCCATTTTTGGCTATTGTTCGAGAAGTGCAGCTTTGCCTCAGTGGTTATCACTCTTGTCATTTCGTTTTTCGGTGAAAGACAAGGATAAGGGTCTGATCCTACAGTGATCTTTTTTGACAAATATGAGAGACAGTAAAGCAAACAAAGCAGACGCAATGCACCCAATTAGAAGGAAACAATCTTTATTACAGCATTTAGTCTTTTTTGTTTATAGTTGGGAACTTAAGTGAGTGTAGTAATAATACGACTATTCTTTTTTCCTAAGCTAAGTCGCGAGTATTGGTGCCACTTTTGGGGCACCTTTACAGCATTTTCATACCATGTGCTTTGACATTCTTTTGGTAACAAGTTAACACAATTGAGGCTTTTCTCACTGTTCAAATGAAACGAAAAAAGCTATTTGCTTCAAATATCAGTAAAAAATAGAAACTCGATTTTAGAAGTTTGCCAACTCAATAATTCTCGCAGTATTCTCGAAATGTTCATTTTATACATAATTAGGCTTTAAGCTTTTGAATTTATTACATGCAAATTTAGCATGGATGCTTTCAGTTTGCCATTTTCCAAATTATTACATGTCAAATTGACTATTTATTTTTGGTTCCATTTTTGTGTCATGGCTTTGGCAATTTATTAGCATATGTAGCTGCTTTACTCGTGACTTGTGATTATCGGTTGTTAAGCGTTCGTGGCCGAGAGAGCAGGACGTGGTGATTCAAATATCGAGGTCGCAGTTAAGAATCCGATGCGCGCCAAAGTTATACTAATTCGATTCGAGACTTATTTCTATTGTCATTATTTCACTTTATAAGGCGGCTTTTTCTTGTCGAATTTTCGCTAATTAAAAAAAAAAGAAATGTATGTTAGAGCAACATGATACTGTAGTTCTCAATTTGCCGAAGAAAAAAGCAGACTTGGGCCTCGTGGCGTATTCATAGGTCACGAAATGAAATATCAGTTCCAAAGGTGTCAAAATAGGAAAGCAGATGGATAAATCCCCGAGCTATT